CCCCAAAACCCCAAAACCCCAAAACCCCAAAACCCCTAGATGATTTTGTTATAAAATAAAATAATGAATAAAAGACCGCCAAAAGGAATGAAAGGAAATCGAAAACAAAATATGAGAATGAGTGGAGAGCCTGATGATAATCGATCACCTCACTATGTAAGATATCGACCATAACTTATAGAAGCCTACTCTAGGTCACAGCACTCAGACTTTTGATCACTTGACTGCTCAAAATCCTCTGGAGGAAGAATTCTGTGAAGAAATTGTTCTTGATAAAGAAACTGAGCGAGAAGTGATTGAAACTCTTCACCTCCAAAACCAGAAAATAGAGGAATACGAGGAGACCATCACTGACCTTCGTTTAAAGGTATCCCAGCTAGATGTGTACAAACAACAAGTATCCAACCTCCAAAGCCAGATTAAGGTCTTGGATGAGAAATTTAAACTGACCTCATTCGATACTGAAAACGCCAAGATCCACCAACTCCAGTCCTGCATCGAGCACCTGACCCAGAAAGAGCAAGCCATGAGTAACGAAGCTGAGTCCAAAACCCAGGAGATAAAGTACCTGACAGAAAGAGTTGAGGAGAAGAACGGACAGATCAGAGATCTTAGGAGACAACTTGAGCGTAAGGAAGAAATCTGTGGAGAAATGAACCTTGATGTATCAGCAATTCAGACCCAAATGCAATCGAAAGAGCAAGACTGGAAATATAAGGTAGAGGATCTACAAAAGAGGAATGAGCACTTGTTGACGCAGAATAAGACTCTAGAGGAGAACATCCAAGAACTGAACAATTATATTGAAGAAAATCAAAGGGAGATCCAAGAGTTTTCTATGTCAGTCAGCACTAAAGAATCTGCCCTATCGAAACTTAGAAAGGAGGTAGAAAAATACAAAAGAGAACGAGATGAGGCAAATAAAAGAGCAAAGAGTCTTATAAAGGACTCTCAACAAGCATCCTTCTTAGAGTCCCAGATTAAGGAGTTCTCCAAAACTATTGATAAGTTATCCAAAGACACTGACTATGAAAAGAAGAAAAACTCTAAAATAGTAAAAGAAAATGCAAGTCTCAGAAAGGAACTTGAGAGAATTCAGAAGAAAATATCTGGCTCAAATGATCCCTCTTCACTAAAATCAAGACTTGGAGAGTCTCAGAACAAACTTTCAGTAGCGAGCACTACCTTAACACAGAAGGAAAAGGAATGAAAGGATCTTGAGATGTCATTGAACGAGAAGAAGTCCGAGGTCAAGGAAATCCTTGCTTATACATGTAGCTATATCACAAGTATTATGACCTGGATTGACAATTCTTTTCTGACCATCCTTCAAGGATACTCTGAGGATTTAGAAAGAGATTATGAAGAGAAGCCGGATATACTCAGAATTTATGACTCAGTTCCAGAACAATTGAGTTTGAGGAAAGGCTCTAAGAGTAAACATAACCTCCTTGGCCATCTTGAGTCATTAAAGTCAATGCTGACAGACACAAAGGTAGAGGTAGTCAAAAAATTTAAAAAGGAGAGGAAAAAGTACTCTTCCCTCAAAGCCCAAATGCAAGAAACTTCCTCCTTTAAGGATGATATCATAACAGATTTCGAGAATCTCAAGGAAGAAATGCTTAAAGTTGAAAAAGACTTAAACCTCAAAAAGTCTGAAGTAGAGACCCATAAATCTAATGTGATTGATCTGAAGGATCAACTGAAGAGAAAAGAAGACTTCATTCAAGATTTTCAACAAGATAATACAAGATTCATATGGGGAGCTGTTTACTCTCTCTTCTCAATAAAACAGAAATTTGATGGAAGTCAGCTCATTAAAGACAGTGTTGATAAGCTTCAGAAAAACATACCTCTGATGGATACCCTCTCAAAGGAAATTAATGATCCAGAGAGGTATAAGGGGCTAACATTAGAGGAAAAGAAGGAAGCTATCATGCACTTAATCAGTATTATCAACGACATCACTACAACTTTGCACACTGAAACCCAAAGGTTATCTGAGAATAAGAAGCAGGTCAAGGATCTTAAGCACAAACTTGAACAAAAGAAGCTAGAATTTGATCTGAAAAGAGACGAAATTCTTAACCAAAAAGAGGCTGAAATCTCCACTCTCCGTGCTGAATTTGAGGAAAAGTACGATAAATTTATAGAAACCAATAAGCAAGAGGTCTCTGCTGAGAAGGAAGAAGTCCAAAAGGAACTAGACTCCTTACTGGCAGCTAAAAATGAGGTTGAGCAACAAGCTGAATGTCTAAAAACAGAAGTTGAGGATCTCAGAAAAGAGTTGAAATTTACCTCAAAATCCAATGGATATATGAAAAACATCCTGTGTTCTTTACTATACAGAGCAGAAGAGCTAGTCTTTCAGAAGAATTTACTTAAAAAGGAATATTCTTTCCTTAGCAACCAACTGGGCTTCTGTAATGAGGAGGTAGAGAAGCTCAAAGAGATCATTGAAAATCTTAATGAGAGGATAGCACTTAAGTCTATGAAGGAGTCAATGCTCGACCATATTAGAAATCAGAAGGATATGTCAATGAGCATCAGCGATTTAGAACATATCAATCTCAATGAGACAAGGAGCATTAACAAGTATACCAAGATTATGAAGTTCAGGAAGTCTGTGATAGTAGTCATGGCGATAAACAGAATGAAACTTTACTCCCAAGGATACTATGGCAAGAGTCTGACTACTCTTAAAAGTTTCAAGGATATTAATTTTTCAAGCGACTCTCATTATAATGAGATTTCTAAGAAAATCAGGATGTTAAGTATTCCAGAAAGAAACCTAAACAATGATCTCTCTATATTGGCTGACTGTAGGGAAGAGTCAGGCAGTCTTTCTCCTCGAAATGATAATCAGAAGTATCCCAAATTTGAGACAGTTAGCAACATGGAGCTTACCCTCAACAATGAATACGGATCAGTTACAAAGAAGTTGTACACTGAGCCAGAATATGATCCTCTTAAATCTATTTCAGAGAGTAAAAATAATTCTGTTGAATCAGATGAAGACGTGGAGAAGTATCTTGTTCCTATCGTGGATCATATAATAGAATGGCAAAATAATATAAACAAGACTAGATTCCAAGTGACTCAGAGGAAACGAAACAGAAGACATAATAATGATTATCATTCAACCTTAGGAATTATACAGAATTACAACATCTGAGATCTTTATGAGACTCTTCCTCAACTACTTGTAACTGGGTTAAGGCCAATCAGGCACTTTATGAAGAGTCTAACAGAGAAGCAAATACTAAAGAATTATCTTGAATCTTGTACTAATTACTCAGATCCCTTGCCATACGATACCCAATATTTGCTATTTGTTTTCTTACCAGCTCAATACATGGCGAAGGGATGTTATAGTCTCGATTCAGGAATACTGACTACTAAAAAGAAGATCTCAACTCTTGAGCATCGCCTTACATCCTCAGAAGAAGACTTGCAGAGAACTCAGGATACCCTTGAGTCTATAGAAAGAGAAGCTATCGACTTCTCCAAGAAAAATGAGCAGTATGAATCCCTTATCCGTAAATTAAATCAGGAAAAAGAGGATATGGTTGACAAAGGCGAGTATGAGAACCTCCTTGCGGAGCGTCATCAGATCTATCTAGAATTAAATAGTATTAAACACACCAAAGATGACATCACCCAGCAGCTAAAGCTTGTCACAGAGGCGGAGAAAGGGAATGAATCGAAGGTCAACGAAATCAGTATCAAATTAACAGAGACTCTTCATAAACTTGAAACTGTGGTTAAGGAGAAGGATCTTGCAAATCTTGAGATAAAGTCACTTAACAATATACTTGCCCAAAAAGATTCTTTAATCAAAGAGAAAGAGATTGAAAAATCCTCCTCTGTGTCATCAGCTAAAGATCTCGAAAACGCTATTAAAAAGTTACGCTTAGACAGAGAAAACCTTATACATGACAACACTGATCTTCTTAAAGAAAACAAGAAGTTACACTCAAATATAATAGAGCTAAATGATCTAATAGCACTTGAAAAGCAGAAATACTTAGAGAGGGAAGACCCACATCCGAAAGTACCTTATTTCTCCTCTGGTAGTAAAGACTTTCATAATACCGGCCACAAGACTGCCGAGTTCCAGTACAGTGAAGAGAAAGAAAACTCATCTATAAACTCTATCCGGAACATAAGATCTCAAGAGCCATCGACAGTACCTTTATATGGCATGATTGAGAAGAATAGAAGCTTGTCAAAGAATAGATAATTGTATATAACCTCTCTACTGCCACTCTAATGCAAACTTCTAGTAGAAACCAAAGTGAGAGATGTCCTCTTCCATTCTAGCATTTCTAGGAAGTTAGAAAACTTTCAACTAGCACCCCAACTCTAGGGGTTTTGGGGTTTTGGGGTTTTGGGGTTTTGGGGTTTTGGGGTTTTGGGG